TTTTCCTTGGCATTGAGAGTTTGGGGGGCATTAGCCCCCACTCTGACCACTGGCTATTAATAAAGGACTCCTAATTTGAGCATCAAAAAAGAAAGAAAGGAAGTGTAAGAGGCGCATGCACATTAAATTGTATATCCATACAGCAATCCCTGCTTCACACCCACAGGTCTGCACTCCTGTTCACACTGCTCCCTGAATGGCTCCTCAGGACTGTTTGTAAACAGTTCTGCCTGGGTCCTTTACCAGGGATGAGGTCACTGACCTCACAGTAGGACGCTACAATCAATCAATTCTGGCAACAGATTGAGCTACATGGCATTTAGACCACCAGTGAGGGAAACTCTTTCATAGGTGCTAACACTTTACCCTCCATAGAGGGTAAAAAATTCTCTCAGTTTTGTTAGCCTGTGGCTCACACTCAGGTCAGTACTTCTGGGTGTCTCTTAATGCTGTATTTTTCACCATGTTCTATGATGTGAATATGGTTTGTCCCCTATGTGGTCTTGTTGAGGTAGTGAAACTTTTAAAAGATGGGGTTACTGAGAGGTAATTGGATCCTTGAAGGTATCACCCTCCAAAGAGATCGATGAAATTCTTGTGGGACCCCAGTCAGTTCCCGCAAATGCAAGTTGTTATAAGCAAAGCAAACCTGGTCCCAGAATCTCTCTGGCTTCCTCTCTTGCCATTTAATCCCTTGTGTACGTGGCACAAGACTTCTCTGCCATATTGTGATTCAGCCAGGAAATTCTCAGTAGTCAGCTATACCATGATATTTAGACTTCCCAGGCTTCAGAATTGTAAACCAAATCTTTACTTTATAGCATACTTTATGAGCTTTTCAGCATCAGGTATTTTTGTATAACAATAGAAAATGGGCTAAGATAGGCTGAGGAGATAGCTTAGTCAGTAAAATTGAGGACCTAAGTTTGATCCCCAGAACCCAAATGTGGTGACATGCCCTTGTAACCCCAGCACTGGAAAGGTGGAGACAAGCAGATCCCGGGTGCTCACTGGCCAGCTAGCCTAGCCTACTTGGTGAGTTCCAGACCAATGAGAGAGTTTGTCTCAAAAACAATCCACAAAACCCACAACTATCTTCACCACCACCACAGCAACAAAAACAGTTAACACCACCCAAAGAACAACACCTGAGGTTGTCCTCTGGCCTCTACATGTCTGTGCACACATATTGTGCCCACGATACACACATGTAAATCCGTGCCCACATAATCATACACAACACACACACACACACACACACACACACACACACACACACACCAATAAAGAAAGCTAGGCTAACAGAATCAGCTTGCTTTTTTAGTTAGTATAGCTAATGAAAATGTATTGTTTTTAATATCTTTAACCACTTAAAATGTAAGGCTGCATGCATGTAAGTGTATCCGTGTCATGCAATGCCCACAGAGTTCAAAAAAGGGCATCG